AAAAACGCTGGAAATGGCATTTCTGAGACCCTAAATTAAAAAATTTTGTGGTGGAGCATGCCCCCAGACCCCCTAGGTTACGCCACCTTCGTCGCTACAACTTTCCGCGCTTGCGTACACCCGCAAAATCTCACCCTACGTCGACCGTGAACAGTTCCTGTAAAACGGCTTAAACATTGTCGTGACAGTTATGTTTCCAGTCCCGCACTACACTCCTGTGGTATGTCACACATCCTCCTCATCCGCTCTCATCAATTGTTAGCGAATGCTTGAACAAATGTTAATATCGTTTGACAGAGGCTCAAGATGAAACTAAAATAAGAGCCTGTGTGGCTGTAAATGGCGGCACATGATAGCCGTGGCGATGAACATAACAACAAAACGTTTAATCATACACGAGGCTGAATCAACTCAAAAGTATCATCACAAACATCCGTTAGAAATCCGTAGCACGAGAAAGAAAAAACTGAAACAAACGACTTACAAAACACTTGGGAAACTTGAAGAAAACCTTAGTGAAACTTCAGGTTATTTCACGGTGCCCTCGTGCGCACCAATGCCGAGGCCCCGTGCGCATGCTCGTAATAAACAAGGGGGTAAGCCCGCTGGTCAGGATACCATATTGATCGAAAAGGATAACATTATTTTGACCACAATTAGAAAAAAATAGAATGGTACTTGCTAAAGATAAGGTGGAATGTATACTGAAATGTAAAATTTGGATGAAAAAAGTATAGAATTGCATTGTAGAAAATTTGGGAAAGGAAAACTGATACAAAAACTCAAAAAATGAATAATGAATATTACGGAAAAATTTGAAATGAATAATGAATAATTTGGGGAAAAAAGCAAAGAATAATGAATAATCGTGATCCAATTATTCAGCTTCCAACCCCGATCATCATCATCTTCTTCTTTGTCATCCTCTCCTTTTTTCTTCTTTATTTATGTTTGTTTTGTTTTACCCCCTGAAAACAGCAACCGTGATTAACATTTACTCTTTCAAATAGCGTATTTCAATTTCAATAATTATTTTGTGTTTAATTATACCAACTGTACGCTGGAATATGCTCGTTTCATTGATTCAGTTAGGTCAGACGCCGCTCTACAGATAATCGCCTAAGAAATACATGCATCTTTTAACATTTACCCACCAATGCCTACAAACGGACACTGGTTTCTTGCCCTATCAACATATTTTCATAGAGTCAACCGTTCTAGGGTGTGCATGAGTAAACAGGATAAACATGGTATACAGAATACTAGAGTTTACATGGGTAAACAGAATATTGCAGAGTATAACAGGGTATTCAATAGTACTAGATATACGTGGGTAAACAGGAGATTTATCAATTATTCCACGAGTGCGCGTATGCGATGAGATGGTTGGAGCCAACCAGGCGCGTAGCGACGAGTTGGATATAATAATCTCATATTCAACAAGCGCGAGTGGAATAATTGTTTTACTAAAAACGCCCACAAAATATCGAGAATTCGTCTTCACTTTATTTGTAAGAACAACAGATAAGGTCTCAGGAATATCTTGCCATGCCGGGACGGCATACGCAAGTATAAATGATCTCATAGAGCACTTATAATATTGACAATATTGCTGCCAGCTACACCAGCTCTTTTAAGCACCGTTAAGGAATACAATCATTTGGCGGCTTTACCATAAATATAATCAATGTGGTAGTTCCATATAAGATCAAGCCTAGCTTTTACACCAAGTTTTTTAAATGTCGAAACACGCCGCTCTAACTGATAGTTTCCAAAGCAAATAGGCTGTATGATATTATTGGGATATTTCATGAAATTTATAACCATTTCTTTATGATTTAACTTCATCTTATGCTCAATAAAAAATGCGTCTGTGTTTAACAAGCAAAATTCAAATCGCTACTGAAAAATGTAGTACGTATCTAGTATTGAGTCTATTTATCTAAACTGAGAACAGGGGCACGCCCATCTTAGTTACTTGGGGTATGTCACCATGGGTGTGTTTCCCCTCAGACAAAGTATTACCTATACACACAGCTTGGGTTCTATTGATGAGAAAAGACTGACTTAATCCAATCAGATACCACAGGTTCCAAACCAAGAAGTGGAGTTCGTATATAAGTATATGGTATGTAGTGGTCCTGACGAGAATTGTCCGCTAATATACAGAATGACTTTGGTAAACATGGGTAAACAGAATAAACAAGGGTATACAGAGACACTAGAGTTAACATGGGTACACAGGATATATAGGGGTATACAGAGCATACAGTATTACTATATACAGGGTATACAGTATCACTAGGGTAAACATGGGTACACAGGATATATAGGGGTATACAAGGTATAGAGTTTGACTAGGGTAAACATGGGTACACAGGATATACAGGGGTATACAGGGTATACAGTATTACTAGGGTAAACGTCTACAAAAGAAATACAGGGGTATACAGGGTATGCCGGTATGACTAGGGTAAATATGGGTACACAGGATATGTAGGGGTATACAGGGTCTACAGTATTACTAGGGTAAACATGGGTACACAGGATATATAGGGGTATACAGGGTATACAGTATGACTAGGGTAAACATGGGTATACAGGATATATAGGGGTATACAAAGTATACACTATGACTAGGGTAAACATGGGTACAAAGGATATATAGGGGTATACAAAGTATACAGTATTACTGGGGTAAACATGGGTACACAGAATATGTAGGGGTATACAAGGTATACAGTGTTACTTGGGTAAACATGGGTGCACAGGATATACAGGGGTATACAGGGTATACAGTATTATTAGGGTAAACATGGGTAAACAGGATGTATAGGGGTATCCAGGGTATACAGTATTACTAGGGTAAACATGGATAAACCTGATATACCAGGGTATACAAGGCATACAGTATTACTAGGGTAAACATGGATAAACATGATATACCAGGGTATACAAGGTATACAGTATTACTAGGGTAAACATGGGTACACAGGATAAATAGGGGTATACAGGGTATACAGTATTACTAGGGTAAACATGGGTAAACATGATATACCAGGGTATACAAGGGATACAGTATTACTAGGGTAAACATGGGTGCACAGGATAAATAGGGGTATACAGGGTATACAGTATTACTAGGGTAAACATGGGTAAACATGATATACCAGGATATGCAAGGTATACAGTATTACTAGGGTAAACATGGGTACACTGGATAAATAGGGGTATACAGGGTACACCGTATTACTAGGGTAAACATGGGTACACAGGATATATAGGGGTATACAGGGTATGCAGTACTACTAGGGTAAACATGGGTACACAGGATATATAGGGGTATACAGGGTATACAGTATTACTAGGGTAAACATAAAGTATATAGTAGCACAAGGTATATAAGATAACATATCAGGGAGTCTATATGGAGACTGCCATAAAGTACTTGCCAGAAAATTAGGTGGAAAACAATAGAGTTACCTTCCCCCTGCTTTTAAGAGCTTTTCGGTAATTACTGCTAAACATGAAACCGAGATAATCAGGTTGATAGCACTGTACGCGTTAGCCACCGCATATAAGTGGTGACTTCATAGTATATCCAGAAACTACACGAGAAATGCGTGATGGAACTGTGCTGATACAGTATGATTAAAAAGTTGATAGAGAGAGGTAACCAGCAAAACACAAACACTGTAATGATAGCAATGTACATTTGAAGCACGTTTCGGTTTCTTCTTTTCCGCTGTTGCTGAGTGTTGGCGGACTGTTCACCTGGGTGTGCCTGTGTCTTGAGCTTGATAACAATGATGGAGTAAAGAACGGTTTACAACAGCACAGGGATGTATGTAAACATAATGATGTAAGCTAGTGGCAAACTAGTATGGGACGATGACTCTCCGAATACTTTCTTCCATTTCGTAACACATAAGTTTCTCTCTGGGGATTCCATGAGCTCTTTGGCGAACAAGTATGGCGAAGATATAACTACGGCAACTATCCACGTGGCAAGAGTGAAGAAGGGACACAGCTTGGATCTGATGAGTGGCGAACGGAGTTCGAAACACCACGGCTCCAAATCGAACCACTGCTATAAGAACCAGATTCTAAATCGAAACCTTAAAGGAAACTTCTCCAAAGAAGGGGACAGGCTAACATATGGCCTGGCCAAGCCGACCACCGACAAGAAACGAGGTGGTGTGCAAGTGTGACAGTGTCCAAGGTGTGAGGAATATTAGAAACAGCAAATCAGATGAGGCCATGTTTGCGATGAAATAATTTTTCGGTTTTCTTAAGTTCGGCGTTTTATAAACGGTCATAACAATGAGAGAATTTTCGGCCAGTGAAACGATAATGAACAGAGTGAATCATAAAGTAGGTTACATCAAGGTATATCTGGAAACTACACGAGAAATGGGCAGAACTATCCTGATACGCTATCATTAAATGGTTAGTACTGAAAGGTAACCAGCAGAGCACAAACACTGTTACTATAGCAATGGACATTTGTAGAACGTTTCCGTTTTTTCTTTTCCGCTGTTGCTGATTGTTAGTCGACTGTTCACCTGGGTGTGCCTGTGTCTTGAACTTGATAAAGATGATGGAGTAAAGAATGACTAACAACAGCACAGGGATGTATGTAAACAGGATGTTGTAAGCTAGAAGCAAACTGGCAAAGGACGAGGATTCTCCGAATACTTTCTTCCATCTCCGTACACACCTGGCTCCCTCCGGGTATTCAACGAGCTCGAAGGCCAAAAAATCTTTCGAAATTAAAATTATGGCAAACATCCACGTGGCAAGAATGAAGAAGGGACACAGCTTGGACCTGATGAGTGGCGAACGGAGTGGAAATAGCACGAATCCAAATCGATCCACTGCTATCAGAATCAGATTGTGAGTCAACACGACAATGGAAACGTTACTAAAGAAAGGGACAAGCTTACACAAGGCCTGACCAAGTTGACCACCTATAAGAAACGAGTAATTGGTGTGCAAGTTGGACAGGCGCCGAGGTATCACGAATATTGGATACAGCAAATCAGATGAGGCCATGTTTGCGATAAAATAATTTATCGGTTTTTTTAAGTTTGGCGTTTTACAAACGATGGTAACAATGAGAGAATTCGCGACCAGTGAAACGATGATGATCAGACAGTAAGTAACGGTTCCTCCGATTTTCAACGCAAAAAAATTTAAGGAGTTCCAAGATCCGCTGGATCCGTTCGCTGTTGAATTCAGGCTTAGCTTAGCGACGTACCTACGGAATTGTACACATGCAGTCAAGAAACTTTGAATTACTGCTCTGTATATTGCGTATGTTGTTTGAGTCAGAAATTTTATTGACAGCTGTAAGCCCCCTGCGAAGCCTCTCTCCAGTTTCCCTCTCGGCCATTTCGCTCTCTCCAGTCCTGCCGAGCTTAGACTCGACTGACTGAAGAGGGACTGCTCGCAGTCTAGCACAGTACGCGTTAGACATAAGCTATTTCGAGAAAGGCCGTTTCGGAAAAAGTGCACGCGAAAATCCCGAAAAGTGTTGTGGGTAATTTTGAGTTCTGACTGTTCTTTAAAGAAATTTGACAGGCCATAAATGTATGTTTGCTAGTGCTTAAGGAGAGCAACCAAAGTAGGTTCGACAGCTACGGTGTCGGGAACAGTGTATTGATCATATCCCATATTACCTTCTCTGAATTGTCGCGTGCACATGTTTTCAGACAACCTTTCTCGAAATAGCTGCATACATGGTAACATCAAAGTACAGCCTGCGTGAACCTGTCATGTAGCTACGGTGAGAAAACGACTGAAAAGATAATCGAAAATACGTGCTTAATGCCAAGTTAAACAGGTGTGTGAAATAAAATCTTTAGCAATACGATCATAAAGTACACAATTTGGCAGGTAAACTACCACAGGAAGCAGGGGAGAAACTGCCTGCCATTAAACAATTAACACGGGCTTAACAGCCTGTTATCATGTGAGCATGAAGCAGGCAGTTTCATTTATATCATTTACCTCTCGGTCGAACTAAAAACGGGTCTTTATAAAACCAGGAGTCTGCTGTCGGCAAAGGGAAACTAGCAGGTTCTTCCTCAACAAATAGACGAGGCCTGTTACTTCTTTGTCTGCTTTTAATTGTTACGAATTGCTGGTTGCCTGGTTTTAGCACTCGATAACGATTTGGCAATCATTTTTATAATGACCAGAGTGACTCAAACGATTTAAAACTCATATCAATGCTTGAGTAGGTCTTGTAATTGGCTAGAAGAAACTCATTAGCATTGAACCTTCGAGTTATTTACTTTGTCAAATCGATTTTCTTTCTTAAATTTCACTTTCAAGCTTGGGTTGTCCAGTCAATAAAAATCCAAGGAAAGCAAAGAGAGAGAACAAAGAATTGGTTTCTATACAAACTTTAAACAATATCATACAGTAACCACTGAAGAGCATCCCCTTTTGTATGGCCCTCGCAAATGAAATCGGACGAAGGACTTTTTTGAAAGTCTATAACCACTGTTGATTACATTTTCATCGCTTAACAGTATATGTAAATACCAGGATTGTATTTTTATGATATTATTATTATTATTATTATTATTATTATTATTATTAAATTCTTCACAGGGGTAGAGCTGTTAGTTTATTCTTGACTAATGATTTCAAAACGCCCATTTCAAAGCGTATGTTGAATTTGTGTCAAATAGGTAGTAAAAATGCAACGACAAGAACATTTTTAATGTGGCTCTTTAGCCCCACGTGGAAGTGTAAAAGAGTCATCAGGGGGTCTTGTGGTCAAGAGGGCAGGAAATTTTCTTATCTACGAACCATAACAATTTATCACTACTGTAGATTTATCTCTTCTTGGTAAATCGATTGAAACAGTTCCAAGACTGGATCGATCTATTCGCCATTGCCGAGTTTATGTTTGCTGCGCGCCTTCTGTACAACGCAGTATATGCATCGCGGCCATTAGTTAAGTTTCAAACGTTTTAAACTTTTAATTTTTGTCCCCTTGCGAGGCCTTAGCACAATAATTGTTAGTAAGACCAACATGGCCGTCCTTTCCTGCTGAATAGACTAATGGATGCTACTTTAAAGCCATCGTGGTTGTATTTAGAAATCGATTGAAAAGATATTTGGAAACCAATATGAGTGGACATTTTCAACTGATGTGATACATATTATTTGCATGTAGAAATACACCCATTAAGTGATCTTAGGTATTTAAACATAGGCGATCAAAATATATCAAGCGAAAAAATGTCTTTAAAAACATTTCAAAGGGGCAATATCATTTGATTGATTTTGTGGAAAAGACAATACCTTGCCGCTTAAACTTCCTGTTTAACTTTTTGGTTCATGTTTTTTTTTTTTGCAATGGGCGAACGGCGTATGTGCCACAAAAACATGCCGTTTGTTTTTCTTTGCTCAAGTTCTTTTGACGACGTAAACATTACTGTCAAATCTAAGGGTGGCGCTAAAATTTCAACAGATGTTTATAATTGTCCTCTTTATTCTTTTCTTTTTTTTTCTCGAGTTTTTCGGCAGAAAGTTTTCCCTTATAACTTAGCAGTGTTCTGTAGTAATTATCAGTTGTTAGTTTTACATTTGTACTTCGCCCGCCTACACCGCCAATAGCAATAGCGTTTTCTAATGGTCCGTCCCTGAGTTTTATTAATCCTCCGAAGTACGCCAACGGCGGTCGTGGTGATTTTTTATTCGCGAGTGTTCCACGTACGTTTTAATCTTAACATCTTCAACAAAAATCACATTTTTTACGACCTAATTCTGTACAAAAGAACATTTTAAGGGTCTTTCAAGTCCTTGTCGGTAATTACTACTAAAAATACACTAATGGTCATGATACATTATTTATTCGCGCGTGTTCCAGGAACCTCTAACTCTTATCCTCTTCAACCAACAGCACATCTTTGCGACCTACGGTTCTAAAAAAGAAAATTTTATGAGTCTTTTAAGAGCTTGTCGATAATTACTGCTAAAAACGAAATAGATAATCGGGTTGATAGCACAGCACCCGAAAGTCATAGTAATGGTGACATTATAGTATAAACCGAAACTACACGAGAAATGCGTAGAACTGGCATGATACTGTATGATTAAAACGTTTATAGAGTAAGGTAACCAGAAAAGCAAAAACACTGTTACGATAGCGATGGACATTTGAAGCACTTTTCTGTTTCTGTTTCTTTTCTGTTTTCTAGGTGTACCTGTGTCTTGAGCTTGATAAGGATGATGGAGTAAAGAATGACTAACAACATCACAGGGATGTATACAAACAGCATGCAGATTGCTGGTATGAAACTAGCACGGGACGATGACCCTCCGAATACTTTTTTCCATTTCGAAACACACAACCAGGCTCCCTCCGGGTTTTCAATGAGTTCGTAGGTGAACACGTCTGGCAAACTGACAGCTACGGCAACTATCCACGTGGCGAGAATGAAGAAAGGACACAGCTTGGATCTGATGAGTGGGGAACGGAGTGGAAACACCACGGCTCCAAATCGATCCACTGCTATCAGAATCAGATTCTGAATCGAAACGAAAAACTACACCTCTCTAAAGAAAGGGACAATCTTACACAAGGTTTGGCCAAGCTGACCACCGATAAGAAACGAGTTAGTGTGCAAGCTTGACAGGTCCCAGAGTATCCAGAATATTGGAAACAGCAAATCAAACGATCATCACAATGAGAATTTGCGGCCAGTGAAACGATGATGATCAGACAATAGGTAACGATTCCTCCAATTTTTGACGAAAAAATCGATGCTTTTCTTAGGGTGCAAGAAGTACGGCTTTAGTAGCTTCGCTACACCATCTCTTGGCATTTCAGTATGGTGTGTTGAAAGCTATGATAAGTATCTTTCTAAAATTGATACGTTTCAGGAGATAGCAGTTCGTTTTGGCTTTCTTAAGGAGGCCACGCCTATTTTAAGCCTTCTAGGGGCCTTAGATAATTTGTTGTGGAAGAGCGGACGTCAAAAAATTCAAATTCTACTGAAGGCCGGCTTTGGCAGATCTCCTCCCACCTAGAAAAACAAGATTGCTAAGGAATCGTGGTCATAGCTATATAGTTCCGCGGATTAGGACCGAACGTTTTGAACAGTGTCTTTTCAAATATCTCTAAATTTTAATCCTGAACGTTCGTTTTTGTAATAAATAAAGAGCTTAATATTTAATTTAATTTGACGGTTAAACACAGGAAGCAGGGGCATAAACCATGAGTCTGCTCTCGGCCAAGGGAAAAGGTTCGTCTTGAACAAAAAAACGAGGCTTGTTACTTCTTTGACTGCTTTTAATTGTTACGAACATCAGTGACTTGTTGACTGCAATTCTCTCTTTCGATAACGTTGTAGCACTTTATTTTTTTAACGACCAGAATAACCCATACGTTTAACTCATATCAATGCTTGAGTAAGGGCCTCTTCACATGAACCCGGTTGACTGCGCTGGCTGGGTTTCCGAGATTTCGCCGTAACCTCTAAATCCTTTGTAAACTTTTCGACGTGTTCATATGAGAGGGCGGGCTGGCTCGTTTCCCGAGATCTCGGTTTTTCCGACTGGGATCTCGGTAAGCGGAATGGAAATTTTGCCACATGAACACCTCAGCCCCGTTGCCGGGATGAAAGCGAGATGAATCCTTTGCAACAGTGCATGCCTTACATCGTCGACGACGTAGCAGGGCAGCTTCAGACAAAGTGATCTTGCCTTGCCTGTTGTATATTCCACATCATAAGCATCCAATTTAACTGCAGTTGATACAGAGTTGCCAAAAGCTTTGATAAGCGTGAAAGCTATAACTTTGTGTTTCTCCATGTTAGATAGATAGATAGATAGATAGATAGATAGATAGATAGATAGATAGATAGATAGATAGATAGATAGATAGATAGATAGATAGATAATCTTTATTTATCCACGGTACAAAATTCGTCAGCTTTAAAAATGCCTAATACTAATATAATAAAAATATTTTAATAAA